GAAATAGCCCAGACAGAACCCATTTGGAGGCATAACTTCTGGAAAACAGGCACTTGAAAACAAATGATTCCAGAAGTTTCTGCATATTTTATTTTCAATCCTTTCACTTCCCATGCAGCTGTTCTGACAACAGGAAACCATTGCAAACATGGCCCAGGATCTTTGAACCGTTCCCAGGATCTTTGATCCTGTCACCGGTATCATGTCGCTGCCTCCAATGATCTCAATGATGTCGCCCGTGTTGAAAGGTGAACCACGGACGCCTTGGACGCCTTGGAGTCGACCAGTGAGTCGACCAGTGAGTCGACTCGGTCGACTTAGTCGACCTTGGCGCGGTCTCGACACATCGATCGACTTCGTTGGAAGTGCTCGATCTCGACGATCTCGACGATCTCAACGCTCAGCAGATGAATCTGAGCTGAACCAGATCAAACCCAAATCGATCAAATCGATCAAATCGATCAAATACGGCAAATGGTTCACATTCTGGGCATGTTTCTTCGGATATTCTGTGTGCTACTTTACTCGACAAAGTTTGAGCTATACTGCACCTGTGTTGCGTCAAGCAATGGGCTGGAAGGGCCTTTCTGAAATTGGGAAACTTCAATCACTTTTTCCTTTGGCTTATGGTTCTTCCCGCTTTCTTGGTGGCCTCCTTGGTGATTTGTTGAGCCCAAAGCGTGTCTTCGCATTGGGTCTTTGCGTCTGCAGCTTGTTGAACATTGCGTTCGGTTTGAGTTCAACGCTTCCGCAATTTGCGTTCATTTGGCTTCTCAACGGATGTTTTCAAGGCTTGGGTTCGTCAAAGTGCATTCAAGAAGTCTTACGAAGACTAGAAAGGTCTGGGCCCATTGCAGTCTGAGGAGCGACTAACGTAATTTATATTACTTACTTATAAATATCTTATAACTTATAGCTTATAATTTATAACTGTTTCTTCTACACTACAGCATTCCAATTTCGACTGGCAACAAGTTTGTCCCATTTCCCTGTGCAGGTTTGGCCGCTCCACCATGTGTCAAGATGATTACAAATTGGTTTGATCCTGAAGAACGAGGTTTTTGGTGGTCAGTTTGGCACGCTTCCATCAACTTGGGCGGTTTCTTGTGCCCCTTCTTTGCTGGGGGTCTGGCCGGGCATTTTGGGTGGCGCTACGGTATGCTTGGTCCGGGCTTCTTGGGTCTAGCCACGGTGGTGCTTTGCTATCTGGCAATGAGTGATGGACCAAAAGCACCAAAAGTGGAAAAAAGCGTCAAGGGAGTCAAGGCAGAGGCCAAGCCAGAACCGGAAGTGAGTCTCGTGGATGGAATCATTTTGAATCCTGTGCAGTGGGCTTTGGGCATTGCTTATATGTTGGTCTATGTATGCCGACAAGGTTTGAGTGTGTGGGCCATTTTCTACCTCATGCAAATGGGTTCACTGAGCCCAGCAAAAGCTGCAGCCTTGTTTTCCGGCTTTGAACTGGGCGGCTTCTTGGGAAACTTGACAGCTGGTACCCTATCAGACTTATTGCTACGACGTGCCCGTGCAGGTGCTGGTGATGTGGGGCAAAGAGCCAAGGCGAGGGGCGAGTCAGCACACGCATGATGTGACAGTCATGACATATCACGTATCATGACCTGATAGCTTTGATGCCAATTATCAGATTGTTATGAGCACCCAAAAAAAATCCAAAAGGTCTGGGATGTAGAACAAGGATGATCACACGCGTCAACAGCAAATTTCTAGCGCCTACTGGCAGCTCGTTGAAATGCAGGCCTAAACCTTAAACACCAAAACTATACAATGGGGGACTTGACCCAGGTTTTCCACTGCTCAGGTGGTGTGCATCTACTTCCTTGCAACACTGCTGTTACTTCCAGCACTGCGCGCCTGTCCCAACTTACCATGGCTTCAATACCTGTTGCTTTTGGGCCTTGGACATTTCCTCTGTGGAGCCCAGCTACTGCTGCCCCTGGTGGCCAATGAATCTGCACCAAAGGCATGGAGCACTACAGCCACGGGTTTCATCGGTTGGATCGGTTACTTCGGTGCTGCCTTGTCCGGCTTCCCTCTGTCCCGGGTGGTGCAATCCTTGGGCTGGTCGTCATACTTCACCGTGCTCACCGTGGCAGCGGGTGCGGGAGCTTTGCTGGTGCTGCCCTTGCGCAACCTACGCAGTTGGAAGCAAAAAGTGGAGATGGGACAAGTTTGAGCAGATCTGAGGCTGAATTCGTGGCCGGTCTTATGCTTAAAGATAAAAGAAAGATGTATAGAGATGTATAAAGATGTATGAAGAGATAAGGCTTTTATCTCTCGGTGTGAAAAAAGGGCTCTGAGCTGTCTGGCTGTCGCTCAGTGCGCTGCTCACAACTTGTCACCTGTGTCACGTTTTTGCTGCTGTGCTGACTGTGCTGACTGTGCTGACTGTGTTGACCGTGCTGTCACAGTTTCCATCCTGAGGTCAAGCTGCGGTGCCAAAAAGATATTGAAAGATGTCGAAAGGGGTACAGTAGGAGATGATTCTGATAAGAGTGGTGATAATAAGAGCTGTGAGGTACTTGGAAGCTCCCAAGATGCCAGTTGTTGACGTTTCCTGCATGCATTCTATGGTGGACAGGTCCTGTTTACTTTAACCTTGAAGGGTTTCAAGATGTTTCAAGAATTGCTAGACTAGACAATTATAGCAGTCCAAAAAGCCATAGGCAGCCATAGTGCACCTTACAGAGCATGACCATTTCATGATCCGAGAAGCCTGTGTCGGATGTGATGAACTGAACGAACTGAACGGGAGATCGCCAGCCTGGCCAGCCTGGCCAGTTCTCCTTGATTTGGAGGATTCCCAGATGGGATCGGCCCAGGGCACGCCAGAGTTTCACCGGATTCGATGTGAAGCCAATGTGACATGTTGTCATGACATGACAATATTTGAGGCTTGGGAACTGTTCAGAAATCACTCACGGTGATCACGGCCACCTACGACTAAAAATGTGCCCCTCAGACATTTGAATGGAGTGCGCAGATGTTCCACATCAAAGAAGAAGCCGTAAATTTCATTCAATTGTGACCCATTTGCAGAGCGAACAGTCATGAAGCAGAGGATGCTCACTTTTGTTTGGAAAATCATAAACCAAGACTTGTACTAAGATTTACTGCCTGAGTAGCGCCTCTTAGAATGGGGGCTACTCTTGCATCGCAGTCTTTAGAATGTTCCTATATGTTCCTTCTTGTGTTCTCAGCACTTCTTGCATCGCAGTCATAAACTTATTGAGAGCGGTTTTCTTGATTCAATCCTGTTTTTTTTTGCTGCTCATTCTCAACACGTATGACAACTCCTGATGGAAGCAGATACCTTTTTCATCCATAAGCTGACACCGCAAAGGAGGCATTGCAGGGAATCAAGTGGATCCGTTGTGATCACTGTCTTTCAAATCCCTTCCGAACACGGCATAGCCAAACTCTGCACTGTTCCTCGTCCTAGACATGTTGTCAATGTGTTGATTTTGAACAGAAAACATGTCGCAAGCCAGGCCCCCGTTTGTGTATGCAGTATGCATGTGTCCAAGGTGCTCACAAGGTTCAAGTACCCAAGCTTGCTATACCTTACATGCCAAGAAATAGCTTTCCAGAAACAGCAGCACAGTACATGACTATCAGTCCATATCAGTCCAAAGGACAACTGTGATTGGTTTGCACTTGAGTCCTGGGCTTTCCATGGACCGGTGCCATGCTTTGGCATGTGGCATGACATGACAACTTGTCATGACGACATCTGAATCCTTCCGAAAGGAAGTTGCCGAAAAACTGGTCGCTTGGCTGCTCAAGAGCACTGCAATCTCCATTCCTTATCTTGATGGTTTCAGCAATCAATTTTCGTAACGTGTTCGTAACGTGGTTGAAACGGTCTTTATTTAACATGTTGGGCACGTCCAAGGAAGGTTCTCGGAGATTGGGTGTTGGCATCTGTTGTTTAGACAACTTGCGACTTCCCTCGAATACCCGTACGTTAGTTCATCAATGTCCTGGTGGGCACACAATTTATGCCCCTGTATTCCGAAACCGAAAAGCAAACGCAAAGATGGATGTTTTTTTTTGGTCACCAGCCGACCAATTCACCGGGGCCGAGATGTGGATTCAACTGGTCAGACCGGAGTACGATGCGCCCAGGATGTGGTGGTGAAGTCGCTGGATGCACGGGTGCCCCACGGGTGCAGCTGGGGTTCGGGCGGAGATAAAGGAGCAATGGGAAAAGAACAATTCGAGAATCTAGCAGCGTGACAACAGTTTGACCACAAAGCAGAGGCGCAGTAGTTGTCAACTGTCAATCAAACACCCAACATCATTCAACAGATTCTTGTGAAATTTGTGAAACTGTTGATGATTGATGCTCACCAGACGATCCTTCGAGGCGTCTGTGGCTTTTCCCAGCTGCTTGCAAAGACCTCAGGTTGGGTTGAGGTCCTTGGGCTCAGAAATATCACCATTTCCCACCAGCCCTACCATTTATGTTATGATCCTGTGCTCTGGACTTTCTGAACTCTTGCGAGCTCTAGAATCTTTCCAACTCGACTTCAATAAGAGCCTCAAAACTCCACTCAATCTTGATCCGTCTTGGGCTTCTCCAATCACCTCTCGAATGCTTTCCCAATTTCCTACACTGTGTCTTACACCTTGGTACTTGTCTTGGTACGAGGTCGGCAGAGGAACGAAAGTATGTGCATCACCTGGCGGAGCAGTTTGGTTTGAGACACGAGTCGGTGGGCCAAGTTGCAAAGCCGCGAGGCCACGAAGCAAATCGGCGGGAGGAATTGCCCTCGACGTGAGGAATTGCTTTGACACAGATGCATAGAGATGCAGTTTCTTATGGCAGACTTATGGCATGCTGGTGGAATGCTTATGGCATATTTTGCGAATTACAGTGTTACAGAAAGATAACACGGAATAATACGGAATACAGATAGATGCAGTTTCTGTTCTTCATGTTGTTCTTTGATGTCCGAATTCAGGTCCAAAGGGCGGGGCGATGCGCGATTCATCTCTGTGAGCAAAGATCCTGGGAAGGCTACCTGCGGGGATAGTCAGGTGGTTGGTTGGCACATTGGGCGAGGTCCAGATTCGGAGATTGGTGGTGCTCACCCTGGGCGAAGAAGTAAACATTCAACTCAGAGACATTCAGAGACACTCTGACATGATATGCACTTTGTTTCTTATTTTCTGTTTTGATTGTCGCTGACTTCTTTTTGTGTTAGTTCTCCTTGATAGATTTGGAGTAAGTGGTCCAGGCAATCCCAATTGGCACTGTCCAAATCAAATTCGGCGCAGCAGCTTGATTGGAGTAAGTCATGCAAATATGATCAAATATGACTAAGATAGTGAAGATAGTCGATCCGATCCGAAAGGAATCTGATCCAATCGCTCTGTCGTGCTGTCCTGAGACAGTTTTTTTTGAGGCAGCACGACGAAACCTTGGTTTGGAGCCTTAGCTCCCGTGACCCATGTGGCAGATTTCTACCCCCTCCAACGCCTCCAATCCCCCAACCCCCTCCAAACCTTCCTCTTGAGATTCCGTGAAGACAGAACAAGCTGACTAAGCTGACTAAGTTGACATGTCTTCTGCTGAGTTGCGAGTCATTCATCCGCACTTCTCCCATGAGGAAAAACGCTTCACCAGCACCATCACACCATCCTGGCTGCTGTTGTTTTTGCAGCTTTGCAGCCATCGCTTCCCTGATTTCTTGTTCGCACGCTCTTTTCTTTTGTGCTGGTTTGGTATCCTGGATCTGCAAGGTGCCAGAAACCGCACTGCAGAGGTGGCTCGACGATGGCACGCGTGTTCCATGAGATGTGAAGTGCTATGGACATTGGCGAAATTGGAATTGGCACACGTTGGTACCACAATGGGAATGGGCAATCAGATGGTACCATTGGCATGGAATGAAATGCAGTTATAAGTTATAAAGTGTAAACGTATTTCATTTGGAGACAATGACTTCAGAACTTGAAACCATTGACTTCAATGAGCCTTTCAGAAGCCGTCGAGGTTGACAAATCCAGATTAAAAGATGATGAACATCTGCCAGAGTGAGCAGGGCCAGTACAAGATGCCGCACGCAGCACCTGCCCTGCCAGGAAATTCCAAAACTCGCGTGGCCTGAAGCTGCGCACGGAGTCCTGGACGATTCCCAAACAGCACACCACACCGTGCACACCCAAGAATTCCCATGCCAACAAACCAACGTGAAGTGCGTACCGTCAGCTTGTTAAGGTTTCTTCAATACAGTTAAACCTGCACAAAGACTTGCAAAGTGCAGAATTTCGCATATATTAGATATAAATAAATAAATAAATTTATAAAGTTAATAAATACATAAATAAATAAATAAATCTGCCCGCACCGAAGGTGCTGGGGCGTGATCGTCCGGATGGCACTCGTAAAAGGTTACAGGTTTACCTGGGGGGGGGGCATTTTTCGGCCAAAACCTCCTGTTTTTGATAGGTCGTGACGCTCGCCTTCAAAAAACACTGTAAAAAACAGTACGGAAGACACCTGTTCGTGAACGCGCCCGTCCAAAATCGGCAAGCTAAAAGTGAAAAAAACCCGTGTTTTTCAACTTTTTGACCTCATTTTTTTGGTTTGCAACATCTTTTTTTGCGGTTCCGCAGGTGGCCGGGCCCGGAGGCGGATTTTTGAGTTTTTGGACCCGTTTTCGGACTGATTTTCGTCGTTTTGTGATAGCAGAAACACTGGTTTTCACAGTGTTTTTCTGTTTTCTGCATGCTTGACGGCTAGCTTCAAAACTTCCAAAAACCTCGTAAATTACGCTGTTTTATGTTACGGTGTGAATGAAAACATCGTAAATACCAGTGTTTTTTGACGTTGGTAAAAAAAACACTGTAAATTACAGTGTTTTTGGCCACCTGACCCTCAAAAACCATGGTATTTGCAGTGGTTTCTGCTTCTCACCGCGCAAAAACATTGTAAATAACAGCAATTTCGCCGTTTTTTCATGTTTTTCGTTATTTTTGAACTGCGTTGGTCCGCTATACATGGCTATCAAATTCTTCGCGTTTTTTTTTCCGACAATCAGTACTTTCGGATGTTTTTGGTCTCAATGGCCGACATCATTGGCAGTTACGATGCGGTGCGGGCGGTTGCCGTCGCGAAGCGACGTGAATAAATAAATAAATAAATATATAAATGTATAAATTTAATAAATACATAAATAAATAAAATAAATAAATAAATAGACTAAATATATAAATAAAATAAATAAATAAATAAGTAAGTAAATAAATAAATCAATATATTATATATAATATAATATTTA